TTTTTCACTACCCTTACTTTATTTTACTATTTTGTGGCTTAAAAAAAGAAGGAAGATACAGAGACTTCCTTTAACGGAAGCCTTATTTTTATAGAAAACAATGTCAGAAGCTAAAACAAACCTTTTAAAGATATGTATGATTATCCAATGTCATTTGCAGCAAAGTATAATAAAAATACACAATCCCTGGCATATCATATTGACATAAATTACTTTATGTCACATACACATATAGCTCCATTCTTCTGAAAAACATCCTTGGTGGTGGGCTCATAGTGATTTAATTGTCCTTATGTTCCTGAAATCTGTGACATAAATCTTGGGTCACCAGCTGGAGACAAAGAACTCTTCTATTTGGCTTGACATTACAGATTGATGATGCTTGACTGGACAAGTAGAAGCCCATCTTTTTAATAATGAGGAAGAATAGAGCTCCCAATGGATATAAGAAATTGAAATCTGAGACTTGATAGATGACAAATTCAAGACAAGTATAGTGACAGCAATATTGCTAAATATTAGATGATTAAAAAAGGGAAAAACAATGTCTAGGACAAAAGAAGCGGGAGATACTTGCAATTTACCTGCAAAACAAATGGCAGGTATGACTCTTGATAATGTAATATACTTATTTAATAATGATATACTAGTTATGTCCTTTGACGCCCTAAGTGACCTTCTAAAAGAACAGCGGAAGCAAGGATACAAACTTTAAAACCAACACTTGATAACCAATGTGAGACATATGATCACATCCTTGCCAAGCAGATTTTCTTCATTAATATCAAAGATAATGAAAGTTTAAACTACAAAATTTTAGACAGAGCCTAGGTGAACAGAGTCCCTCATCAGGGCCTGGCAGGTAAAAGGTTTTAAATGTAACAGAATAATTCTTACTGATTTCAAAAAACTAAGTAAATACAATTTAAACTCAAAATATCATCTTTGACTTACCCAAATGGATCACCAACCACAAGAAATGCAACATCACTGATATCAGCATCCTTTAATATATTATCTGCTTCTTGTTCCACTTCTTCTCTATCAGCAAGAATCAATTTTCTTCCATAAAACTCTTCCTATAGATTTAAGTCCAATATCAAAATGACACAGCAGGTGATCATTTCCACACACACACACACACACACACACACACACACACACACACACCCCAATCTTTGTCTGGGGCTGGTGCAAATCTTGGCAACCATCCAAACACAGATCACTGGATACAACTCATCAATGAGCCAGCACTCTGTATCATGTTGCAATTAAACTCTGTCTTTGGGGCCATCTTAATATCCCAAGAGGAGGTAGACCTAACATCTGAGGCTTTTTGCATTTTTAATTTACCTCTAAATTTGGGTCCAATAGACCAGGCAAAACACTGTAAGGTGAACAGAGAATATGTATGCATGAGCCTTTCTTCAGGAACACAGAAATACAGAATAAATATATTAAACAATCATTATAAATACACATGGTAGTTTGGATTTTATTAAATTTTCCATGGGAAAAATCTATGGGACACTCACTAAAATAAGAAGTAATTTCAATGAGAAATAGAAAATTAAGATTTAGTTGTTTACAGATCCAGCAAACATTCCTACATTAATTGCAAGAAAGACTAATTTAAAACTGCATTTCCTAGTTCCTGCTAAAAAAATAAAATAAAAGCAGAGTTTCAGGGGGTAAAAAAAAGAATTCTAAATACAACAGGAAGCCTCCATACAAACTGTTTTGTGAACTAGTCCCCTGAAGTTCAACTCCAGAGAACAAACCCAGGAGCTGCCCTTAACTGGAGTGGCGGTGTGTAAGAATGGAGAGGGATCTAGTGTGCTAGTGGTCATGTGGTAGTGGTTATAAGCTACTATTCATGAATCATATAACTGATTTCCTGGGTAGTAGTATGTAACTCAAATATAGTAGAAGTGGATGCACAGATAAATAATACTATTTCTTACATATTGACAGGTTTGTTAGAGTCATAAAAATTATGATATAAGGATAATCTTAAATCAAACATTATAAGAATTATGAAAGAGTATCTGGTATTCAATAATGACTAAATGGACAAATGATTAAGCATTTAAAGATAAAGGCTATCATTCCAGCTGTGATAATTATTTCCTAATACTTAACTAGAATCTGCTCCTCGAATGTGAATAAAGATCCCTTCCTTAACTCTGCAAATCTTCTCAGGGACCATTGTTCCAGAAGGTCCCAATGACATTGTTTTTATATATGAAAAATGTCCTCTTTATTTTCATTTTTACCATATATTTTTCTTAATTGTTAATTTTTATATTTGAAGAACCCAGAAAACTTAGTAGTTGCAGAACATTTACATTCACATATGCATATATAACACACGATTACTGAAAAATGAAGTTTTTTTCCTGAACTTCTAACATTTCTTAAAGATCAAGTCACATGGGTTAGCTTAATGCTAGCAGTAATCCTATCCAATATTTTATAAATGACTAAACAGAAAACCCCTATCCGTCCCCAAGACTTCTATCATGTATCACTCCATATTTATCACTTATTCTAACCTAAGAAACATTTCATTATCTAATTGAGACAACAGAATGCTTATTTTAAAATCTCCTTTAAAGAGAAACACACACACATAAACACCCCAATATAATCAAATGGCTGATCCTCTTGAAAAAAAATGTTTCAAAAAGGAAAGAGATAGCAAAAGCAGTAAGGGACCGGTGTTACATTATTTTTCATTTACCCACTTATTTATTTATTCATTCATTCACTCTAAAAGTATTTCTTGTGCACAATCTCCATACCAAAATTCATGCTTGATGTTGGGGAGCAGTGGTGAATGAGACATGTATGGCCCCTGCCCCATGGAGCATGTCTAGTGGGCCGATAACTACCATACTATATGTATAGGAGCATCTATCCTAGTTAGGGTCAAGGAAGGGAATTAAAACAACAAGCAGTGCCACTTAACAAATGATTTTAAATTTATATTATATATTATTCAATGACTGCGTAGCCAGTTTTTGTGCAGTCTCAGCCCTAATCATCTCCATTCATGAAATGAAGATAAAACTCAAAATTCACTCTTGGCTTTAAGCTGGCAGGTTTTATATATGGGGGACAGTAAAAAACTAAAAGTGAAAATTACTTTTGGGTATTTCTGGAAAGGTACACAATAAATTAGTAATGATTGCCTCCAGGAAGGGAAACTGGGGTAGAAATCTTTCAATGTATATACCTTTTAGTATCTTTTGAATTTCAAACCATTTAACATACTACCCGGTCAAAAAGTAGAAGAGCAAAGGCTCAAACAAAAAAAACAAACATTTGGGCCGGCCGAGTGGCACGTTGGTTGGGAGCTGGCTTGGGATGCCAGAGGGCCCCGGTTCGGATCCCACATATGAGGGCCAGTGACACTGCCCTCTACAGCTAAGATGCTGAACAACAGCTCAACCTGGAGCTGGGCTGCTGTGAGTCGACGTCGACGGCAGATGGGCTGCCATGGGCTACAGTGTGTAGCCAGCAGCCGCTGTGAGCGGCTGGCAGAAGCCCACGACTGATCTACCTCGCCCGGGAAGAGCTCAATGATGGTGCCAACTTGGGCCAGTGAAGCAACGTCCTCCACAACTAGACTGAAGAACAAAAGGACAGCAACTTGTCTGTTCCCCTTCCCCCAATTCCCCAATAAAAAAAAAAAAATCTTTAAAAAAACGAACAAACAAAAAAAAACCAAACATTTAAAGAAGAAACAGAGAAATAAGGAGCTTACACTGGGCACTGAGAAAAATGGAAAAGTAGAAATAAAACCAAGAGAAAATCATGTCTGAAAAGCCAGTTTCAAGGAGTGGTCAACTATGTCAAAAGATGTAAAATAGTGAGATCGAAACTGTCCTCTGGAGTTCTCAGCTACTAAATAATTGTTCAACAGGGAAGTATTTCATAGGAATGTAAATCAGCCTGCAGGAGTCTGAGATATGAGTGGAAGTAAGGGATAATAAAAGTAAACTGTTTTTCTAAAAATCTTTGGAAAAAGAAGAGACAAAAATAATAACTATGAGGAAAGGGGGCTTAAAAAAGGAGCGTTTTCAAAATGGACAACATTTGAATATGGTTTCAGGCTGAGGGGAGAAGGATGTTAATATAGATGGAACATAAAGAATAATAACTGATGGAAGGAAGATTCTGGGTTGGGGGAAGAGGTGTGCAAAACACACATCTAGATGGAGCGCATCTTGAACCGGAAGAGAACCTCATCTTACAAGTCATTTTCTAAGGCTGGAGGGAAGGCAGATTCAGATTTAGGGCGTGGACAAATGGGAAGCTAATACAGGCCATAGCTGATGGCCTCGTTTTTCTCAATGGAAAGTCCTTCACCGTCCTCTTCTGACCCTCCGATATCAATCCACAGCAGTGCTATATGACAAGGGAATAGTGACCTGGTATCCTGGTGAAATAGGTTAGGAAGAAAAGAGGCAGAACTGATACACTAGGAAACAATGAAAGTTATTTCAGTGATGCCCAAGAACAAGTATAGCAAATACTGTGTGTGCTTTTCTCCTCATTGCTTTTGCTCACAATTATTTTTTCTTCAGCAAGGGATGCTCTTTGTCTTCCCCTTATCAAATCTCATATATAATAACAACACGTATTTGTAATAATACACTTACACTAGGCTCACTCTCTGGTCAGGTACTGTCCTAAGAACGTATGTAGTATAGGAGTTCATTTAATTTTTATCATACTCTATGAGATAGTCACTATTTTTACCCCTTTTGCAGATAAGAAAAAGAGCATAGAAAAGTTAAGAGACTGCCCAAGTTTATAGAACATTGGTTGACTGCAGAACTTCACATTTACTAAATACAAATGGGGCGCAGACAAGCAGAGTTTTATGATCTGTTTTCTGCAGGCAGCTGGGACCCCAAAGGTAGTTCCCTTTGGACATAAGCAGCTTCTTCCATTTACCCTGCAGAGCTGTACAAACATTATTATTTTCTATTTGGACCATGATGCAAACAAAATAAAACAAAGAAACAAAACAAAGACTAGGATGCATTATTTTAAAACACAGCTCAAATTCCAACTATTCCACAGTATTCCCTGACCATCACAGCCTAAAGTGATCTTCTCTCTTACGTGTATTCCAATTGCAATTAATAACTAGTAATTATTTAACGATAGCTTCTACTAGTTGATGAAAGCAAGAATGCTGACTCTAAAAAGATCATCTAAGTTCTTTCCAACAATATAATTTTAGTTTCTCCATTCCACTGCCATGATGAATTTCTACTTAAATCTTCCATTATTATTTACATTTTCCTGGGTATAACACAGATGAATCATGAACCACTTGAGAACAAAGATCATAGCTTACACTCTTTGTATAATGCACACAGATATATTATACCAAAGGCATATAAGATAATTTATCCACAAAAATTGCCCAAAGAAATTAAAGTGATATATACCAAAATTAAAACTGTTTGCTGGATTCACTGTCTCTAGTTTAATTAACTTTTGAATAATAGAGAAAATATAAATACCTGTTTGGCTATGCATCTGAGAGGACAGAAGACCTGAAATTCTCTAGGTTACTTTTTTGTTTGGAAGAATTGATAGACCAGACAATTCTAAAATCCTCTCCTTCCTCCTATAACCTGTCCATCAATCTTCTTATCTTAATTTACACTATACTTGGAGTTTAATAATGACCCTGAACTTAACCCCTCCTCCAAAATTTTCTGAGCCTTTAATGAGAGCCAGCTAAATGTATGATACACTAACAAATGCTATGGTTACTCTGTCCAGACTCACTCAATATATACAAGTGTATGAGTATAAGACTTACTGGGAGACGTCTATTTAAAGTTGAAACTGCTCTGGACAGATACAGAATGGTGATTACCATTCCCTATGGAAATACTTCAAAGGAGGAAGCTTTCAGCTTGGTTTCTGAATATATAACCAACTCATTAAGTCTGTGTCAGCACCTCATTAACACTCAACTCAGAAAGGATTTCTTGACTGTCTCATGAAATAAGGGATTTTGATAACTATCCTCAGGAGTGTACAATAACTTTCCTTTCCCACTTACTGGAGAAAGCCACAAAATTGGACTTGTAAAGTAAGACAATGCACCTTTCGTTTCCCAAGTCACCTGGTTGGTGTGTGATTCCTTTTTGTACTCCCAGATCCTTAATGAGAGGGATGTGTTTTAAAGGGTTTAAACAAGCAGATCTGAAAATCTAGTTCAACTTAGCGTAATGAAAATCAGCTGTTGGGATAGCTTTCTTCCCAGGAGGCTGGAGAACCTTAAGCACTTACCAAAACTTCCTTCCCTACAGTAAGGACAGAGGTATAGGCTTCCAGATACACTCGGCTGCAGCGTCTTACAGCTTCCAGGCCTTTGACTGTGATGTCCTTCGCATCTCCCAGGCCTAAGCCGATCAGGTAAAGCATTTCTAAGTCCAGGGGGGAGGGAGACTGCAGGACGAAGTGAACAACAACAAAAAAACAAACGTCAGCTACACGGAGGACACACAAAATCTAATGATGAACACGAAGACGAAAACCAAAATAGCACGAGAAGGAACAGCAGTGTCACAAGGAGTGAAGTTTGAGAATCTTCACGCCCCTTAAAAAAGGATTGGAGTAAGTGTTTTTTAACAACCCTACCCGCTTTCCCTCTTGTTACACAAACCTAGGAGTAGACAATTACCCGTTGGGAGAACTGAAGTTGGGTCCCTGTCCTCTCCAAATTGCTAACTGCCGCCTTTCTGCAGAAGCTGCTGCCGAAGGGGCGGAGTTGTGCGAGCGAGTACCCACGCCGCCGACTTCACTTACGGTCGCCGCAAAACGCCGACGCCTTTACGACACTTTACGACTCACTTCTGTAGGTGAGATAGCCGGGGAGGTCAGGTCCGGCTTGGATCAGCAGTGACCTGCTGGGTGCTGGGGTAGGGAGGCGAAAGGTTAGTAGGTCGTGGGGTGTCCATCCAGAGCCCCCAGCGTGGCTGCTGGAAAAGGACGAAGCCAGTGGTTTCAACATCCCCATCTTAGGATCGGGTGAGTGCTAGTAGAGCTCTTCGCCCCTGAGCGAGACCCGAGGATGGGAAGTAGAGCCCGGCGCCTCCCCTGCTCCGGACCCATGATGGGGAGGCGGAAAGGAGGGGCTTCCCTACTTTGCCCTGGGATTGATTGCCCGAGTGCAGAGCTCCCTTCCCGCCTTTTTGTTCTGTTGTAGTTTAGACCCTGGTGAGGTCAGCGCGGCCGTGAGTGTGATTCTGATTTCCCAGCAGGGCAGTGATTCCTCTGGTGTGGCCCCAAGACCTAATTCCACAGTACCCCAACGGGCGTGACTGGGGTCTGCCTCAGTCATCCTCAGTGTGGGGATGTCCCTCCTGAGCCTAGAGAAGTGACCTTTCAGAGTACTCACGGATTTCAGACCTCACCCCAATTCTTTCACAAGGGAAATTCCTGTCGAGTAGTTGGTTCTAGTTCCAATGTCGGAAGGGTTTGTTTTTACTGTAAATGCTCTTCCTAAGGTCACTAGTGACCTCATCCAAGACAAAGGCCTGATGCTTATCTTAGTACACAGTGTTGGGTTTTCAGAATTTTCCTGGCACTTCCCTGACAATGCCTTGTATCTTTTTTGCCCACCTCCTTAAGCTTTGACTTTTATGTTTTTTCCTGGGTTCCATCCACCCTTTGTACGTATCATTCTATACGCTCTTAATGACTGATTCTACCCATTCTCAATACATTCATCCATAACTCACACCATACAAAAATTAATTCCAAATGCATCATAGATGTAAATGCAAAACCTAAAACTAGAACATTTTCAGGAGAGAACATAGGAGAAAACGTTTGTGACCTTATTTAGGCAAAGACTTCAGTTGCCTCATCTGTGAAAAAGAGAGAATAATACCATCCCTCATAGCGTTATTGTGATGAGAAATGAAAGAACACACATAAAGGGCTTAGCATAGTGCCAGGCAATTGGTAAAGACTCAATAAGCATTGGCAGATACATAAAGTTTGAAATTAATTTTATAGTTATCTAGGGTCCATTCTTAATCCCATTCACAAAAGTTCTATGAAATAATTACATAAGTTCATTAATCATAGACAGTCCTCTAGATAGACTATTTTATTGATTCACAAAGGGTTATCTTTTTTTTTTTTTTTAAATAGGGTTACTTTCCCATGCTCTTGGTTGTGAGACTTTGGGGAGAAACCTGTTCCCCATTTGGGGTAACAGAGTCATCTCATTGATGTAGTATTATTGAGAAAAACTTTGTTTCTATCATTCTGTCATTGAGTTTAGCACTGTAGACTTGCATGGCATCAAATAAGTGTCACCTGGCAATTGGTTAAATCTTAAAATAGAAGATGGTTAATATGCAATATTAGCTACAAATATTAATATTTCTTAGTATTTTTGTAAACAGCCTACTAGTGAGCAGAGAAAATGTTCATTTGAGATCTAAAAAGACTTTAAAACTTTTTTAGGGGCTGGCCCAGTGGCTCAGGTGGTTAAGAGCGCTAGGTCTGAGCAACAGGGTTACCAGTTCGATTCCCACATGGGCCAGCGAGCTGCACCTGAGCTGAGCTGCTGCTGAGCTGCCAACAGGTGGCAGAATGGCTCAGCTGGTGAGAACACGTGCTCCTAACAATAAGGTTTCCAATTTGACTCCCGCATGGGATGGTGGCTACGCCCACCCTGCAACTAAGATTGAACACAGCACCTTGAGCTGAGCAGCCGGGAGCTGCCGATTGGTGGCCTGATGGTGATTGGACTTGGAGCTGAGCTAGCTGCGCCCTCCACAACTAAGACTGAAGGACAACAACTTGGCTGTTCCCCTCCCCGAGTTCCCCAACACTGTTCCCCTTCCCCAATTCCCCAATAAAAACTTAAAAAATAAAACAAAACACAAAAAAATCTGATTTAGATGCCCCACAACAATAAAAATAATAATTGTGGTACACTGACACAATACAGTACTATACAGCAATGAAAAAGAATGAAGTCCTGCTACACAAAACAACATGGCTGAATCTCACAGAAAAAAAGTGGAGATACAGCACCTTGGAGATGGGCTATAGCTTACATACAGCAACATCCACAAAATCTCAAGTGTATAGTTTGATTATATTTTTTCATATGCGCACTCATCAACCCAGATCAAGATATGGAACATTTTTAGCATCCCAGAAGGCCACTTTTGTCTCCTCCCAGGAAATGTCTTACCCTCCCCAAGGTAACCATTATTTGACCTCTAGTACCATAAATTAGTTTCCCTGTTCTTAAAAATGGAATCATAATACAATGTACTCTTCCATGTCTGGCTTCTTTGGCTCAACTTGATTTCTGTGAGATTTATCCATGTTGTTTTGAATAACAATGGTTCTTTTTCTTTGCTGTATAGTGTTTCTGTTGTATGAACTTATCACAATTTATCACTTATTGTTGACGGCCATTTATGTTGTCTTAGTTCTGGGCCAATCTAAGTAACTCTGCTATGAATATCATTGTATATGCCTTTTTTTGGACATAGCACTCATTTCTATTAGAACATATACCCAGGAATTGGAATTCCAAAGTGTTTATACAATTTACATTCTACTAACCACTGATGAGAGTTCCAGTTTCTCCATATCCTTGCCAACACTTGGTACTGTGAGTCTTTCAAATTTTAGTGGGTGTGTAGTGATACCTCACTGTGTTTTTAACTTGCAGTTCCCTGATAATTAATGATGTTAATCACCTCATGTGTAATTTATTTTTTCCTTGAGTTATTCTTTAATTTCTTTATTAATTATTTAATATTAATAAAACAATTTCACTCTTTGTATTGAATTAAAGTGTTTTTCAAGGTAGTACTTGAAAACACTTCTAGGTAAATTTATTTATTTTTGAAGGCAAAAGGATTTATTTTCCCCACCATGGTGTTAAGTGCTGAATCTGTATTTGTAAGTGAGTAAACCCATTTTCTAATAAGGCACTCTCTTTAAGTAGGCCTTAATATGTGTGCACCAGTGATGATGTGTGCCTAAAGAATATATTTATTTCTAGAGAGAACACCCATGGTCAGGATGCCTACTTATTATGGCTCTGCTGCCAGTAACTGTGAGTTTGGATCGTTTTTGCTATTGATAAAATGAATGCTTTCAGCTAGATGATTTCTGTCACACTGTAGGCTTCAGAAACTTTCTTCTGTGGAAAAGGTTGGTTAGAATGGAAAGAACACTAGATCATGAATCAACTTGGGCTCTTTGCACTTTGTGAGCCTTTGCTTAATATCATGGCTCCAAACCTCAATAATAAGATTCCTCCTCCTCCTTCCCTATCTTCCCTCCTTTAAGAGATTTTGATATGAAAATAAGCAATACAATAATTCCTTAAATCTGGAAATTAGCATAAACAATATAACTTTTTTAAACCATATAAGTTGTCATTATTAAATGTGTACACGAATAAACTGTGTAGACCTTGAGTTATTCCGATTTAGCGATATGGTCACTTGTGATACGTACAGTGATTTATTTTTTCATGATAAATTAGAAATTTTTTAAACCAAAATTAAACTGTTTATATCAAATTGCAGGATTTCCACACTTAATTTTCCTGGAGTGGATTTGGTTCGTGTTGTCTAAACCCGAGGCAGGCATAGGATATGATTCACCGTAACCTCATTTCCTTGCATCTTGCTTTACTTTATCTGGTTTTTTTGTTTGTTCTTCAATAATACTTTCTGTTGTAATTTTGAGTAGCAAAGTTCCTTTTCAACATTTTTAAACAACTTACTGTCCGAACTCATTAAAATTTTTTTAAGTAATGGCTTGTTGTGATCCAATTCATAATTCTATTTTTCTTTTGTCTATTGCTCCTCTTTGGGCATTCATTAAATAGTACTTGATGAAATTCTAACAGTAGTATAGACAGTATAGTTAACTCTATGCATACCAGTTGCAGAAGCAGTAAAAAGCTGAGGTCTGGAGCCTGGACTTTGGAGTCATGACAGCACTTGATTCTGGCTCCTTTTACTAGTAGTGTGACCTTAGGAAAGTTCCCGAATCCTCAGTCATATTATGTGTAAAATTCAGATGATAAAGGTACTTATCTCATAAGGCTGTCAGGTGGATTAAATGAGGGAGTACTACATATAAAGTGCTTTGAACAGTGTCTTGTACTTAGTAATTGTTCCATAAATGTTAGCTGTCATTATGAATATTACTATCTTTAGGGTTTTTGTGAGGACTAAATGTGGTAATATAAGTAAAGTACACACAAAAGGCCTGCATTGCAGTATACAATTAATGTTAGCTGATACTACTACCAAACAAAGATTTTCTCTGACCAGCTGGTTTTACACAATTTCTATGTGTCCGGGTAAAATTGCACTTAAGGGCCAGTCTCGAAAAAAAAAAAAATTGCAGTTAAAATATTTGATACTCAAAAAAACATAGATTTCCAGGGGCTGGCCAAGTGGCTCAGTTGGTTAAGAGCTTGCTCAAGAGTGCGAGCTCTGAGCAACAGGGTCGCTGGTTCGATTCCCACATGGGCCAGTGAGCTGCGGCTGAGCTGAGCTGCCAACAGGTGGCAGGATGGCTCAGCTGGTGAGAGCACGTACTCCTAACAACAAATTGCCTGTTTGAGATGGTGGGCTATGCCCGCCCGCAACTAAAGACTGAACTCGGCACCTTGAGGTGAGCTGCCGCCCGGATGCCTCAGTGGACAGAGCGTGTGCTCTTAACAACGAGGCTGCTGGTTCGACTCTCACATGGGATGGTGGCTACACCAACCTGCAACTATTGAACACAGCACCTTGAGCTGAGCTGCGCGACTGAACTTGGAGCTGAGCTTGCTGCGCCTTCCACAACTAAGATTGAAGGACAACAACTTGGCTGTTCCCCTCCCGTAATTTCCCAACACTGCTTCCCTCCCCCAATTCCCCAATAAAATCTTAAAAAACAAAACATGGATTTCCAGGCTGAAGCACAAAGCTTTTAAAAATTATAATGTACGTAGCTGAAATGTTATTTGTAATGAAAGAAAGGAAAAACTGGTATTAATAACTAAAAAATAAATAAAGGTTTAAACAATTTTTTTTTCTTGAATACTGATGTAATAACAAGGTTTAGTTCCTAAGAATTTTGTCCTATGGCCAATTAAAGAAGTTGTAAGAATTCTTACATGGAAATTACACTAAAAAATCATACTAGTCTTGGTACTGGCACCTTCAATATTATTTACTTGCCTGTTGTATGTGCTGCTGTCTGGCCTCCCTGTGTCTCTCCATAAGTTTCTCGCCTTGTACCTAATTCACCACTACATGTACCTCTGCCTTGTTATCACAAGAGACTGACCCATAGAGCTGATCTCAGTCTTCTGAGAAACTTGATTCCTTGCCCTTGGATCCAACTCACCAGAAATGAGTTCCTTTTTGCAAAGCAAGACCCCCCCAAAAGCTAGGTAGGTACTCACATGTCTGAAATTGTCAGGGTCACCAAGTACTTTTGAACAGGTGCACTGCACACCCTCAGCATGTGCCATTCACATAGACTACATACAACCTGCTCAACTACATGGTGGCCCAGTGACCAGATGCCTACTTCTTAAATTATTGTTCACCTGCAATGTTCCTGAGGATATGCTTGAATAGATACTCTGGAGCTTGTGTTTCTTTATTTTTTGTTTGTTTTTGTTTTAAACTAATGATTCATGACATACCATTATGTGCTGGAATAGCACTTTTAAAGAGTGGCCTTCCTTCGACAGCATGTGAAGACATCCTTTTCCCAGCGTTTGTAGTCTTCTTTAATTACTTGATATCATCTACTTTGTATCTTGTTTCTACTTAATTTGTCTCAACTTTCATGGCCCCCCATCGCTCAGTGTTGTTGCCTCCACCTGGAATACACCTTCCCTGCTGTATCCGGTAGGAATCTTACCTTTTAAATTCTAGTTTAGAAGCCCCTCCTCTATGGTGTCTTCCTACCTCA